GAGGGGCTGCAGGGCTGGGGGTGAGGGGCTGCAGGCCTGGGGCTCCTCTGAGGATGTGGCAGGATTCCCAACTCTGCCACCAGGTGGTTTGGGACCAAGGCACATTCTCTCTCCCGACTCCATTTCCCATCTGAAAAATGGGGGCAAGGGAAGCAGTGATGGTGGGTTTGGACTAAACATGGTTTTCATAACTGGCTGAACTTCAGAATCTCATGGGGAGATTAGGAGAAAAAAAACTGTTTCCTGAACTTTACCCCTTTACACTGTGGAAAGGAACCTTCCAGCTCCAGCCTTCCCCAAGTCTGGGGCAAGAATTTGGGTGTGAGTCTGTAGCTCAAAATGTTTCATTATGGCCATTTGCCTCCTCGGGCCCCAAGACTGACAAAGCCCACAGGCCTTACTCCGTAATACCTCAAGGCAGCCAGTCCTGGTCTAAACCCTGCTGGAGCCATTTGACACAAGGGGCCTGCAGTAACTCAAGGAAGAAAGGGGTGGACATTGTGGCAGGACCACAGCTGGGTGTGACTAATCCATCTCATAGACTCCGATATCCTGGTCTTGCCTGCATTATCACATCCAGTGCCTGCTTCTCAGGAGAGGCGTGGAGAGGATATTAACAAAGGAGAGTTTGTCCAGGAAAAATGTCAGGGATAAGAGTCCTATCCAATTCAGTCTTTTGAGGGGAGGTCTCAGGGGCATATAATCACAGTCTCTCTAACACGTTGAAGAACGGTCTTGAGAAGGAGTGATCAGGGTCATCCTGAGTGGCATAAAAGAGATAACTATGCTCAATGAGTAAAAATTACATTTCAGTTGAACATGAAAATTCTGTTCCTTTAATCAGAGGAGTCTAGTACGAAAGGTCCAGGCGTTGAGCTCCCTGTCACCATAGGAATGTCAATAGATGTCTGAGCTCTACTATAGAAGATGTGAAGGAAACATCAGACAGGAGTCATACTCAGTGGCATTTAGTATCTTTTCCAACTCTAAGTTTTGATGAAATAATCTGGCTAACCAACTCATTTTATAAATGAGGAAACAGAGGTCCATGCTGGGAAGTGACCTGTTCAAGCTTCCAGAGGAAGCCTTTTCAGGGCCTGGTAGGTCCAGGCCCCCACACCCCAGTTGTGTGGTTTTTTCATGTCCATCAGGCCTTGCATTCTAGAGGCTGGCCTCTCTTGACCAGACTTTTCTTTGTTTTCTCACCTACTCCTGTCGTTGCCCCCGACCAGGGAATGAATGCCCCAAGCTGCAGCCTCCCGTCCATGGGAAACTCGAGCCCATGCAAGCCAAGTACTCCTTCAAGGACCAGATGCTCATCAGCTGTGACACAGGCTACAAAGTGCTGAAGGTAAAAGGTCCTGCCGGGGGGAGGGGGAACCTCCAGGCCAGAGAAGTTCTCCAGAGCCTTCCAGGGCAGATGGGCTTCCACAGTTTGTGATGGTGCCACCACAGGATTTCCTAACTTCCCTGTAAACCTCCCAAATGTGCCAGAAATTCCAGTCTTCTGAAAATTCAGAGCATGTGTCCCAGACTCTCACTTCTGAAAGTGGCACAAAAGTCAGAATCAGAATCAACAACCTTTACAAAGCTCATCAGGCTTATTGGGGGAACCTGGGAGAGAAGCAGAGCTTTTAAAAGGTGGCAGATGGGCCTTGCTCACTGTCTGAGACAGTGGCTCTCCTAGGAATCACCTGGTTAACTTAAAAACAAAAGCACCTCCCAGGCCCCACCTGAGATCAATTAAAGCAGAATCTCTGGGGTGGGACCCAGTGACTTTTTCTGTTAAGTTGCCCAAGTGAGTCAGATGTGAACCAAGCTAGCGGGCCGCTGCTCTCAAGGAACGGTCATCCAAGTAGGGCCCCCATCACAGCAGCCCATCACCTATTAGAAATGCAAAGTCTTGGTCCCTAGGCTAGACCCACTGATTCAGAAACTCTGGGGATGAGGCCCGGTGATCTCTGCAAAAAGCCCTCAGGGACTCAGGGATGCTGATGCTTAACTTGGGTTTGAGAGCTGCTGCTCTGAAAAAAAGGAGTCGGGGGACAGGATTCTCCTCTTAGACGTAGCCCAAACCCCGTCTTGCACATCGTCCTGACGTCTCTGCAGAGTAGGAATGGAGAATATGAGTTCAGCATCTACATTCGCCTTATCCTCAAGCCTTTGGAGGCCTATGGTTGGAAAAGCTCAGTCAAGGACAGTCAGATGTAGAGTCTGAACCGGCGTCCCTGGGAAACAACCACCAACCCCAGCCCTCCTCCCCACTCCTTCTTCGTGTTTCTTCCTAGGATAATGTGGAGATGGACACATTCCAGATCGAGTGTCTGAAGGACGGGACATGGAGTAACAGGATTCCCACCTGTAAAAGTAAGAAAACACAGTTGGTTGATTACAAGGATAATAAGCTTCCAGCGCCGGGAGTATCGGAGCAGAGACCACATAAGGGGGGAGGAACCTGGTAGTTGCACCCTGAGAAGGATGGGGTGGGAATCCCACAGGCACACTGAGGCTGGACGAAAAGCTAGTAATGTTTCTTTTAGCAACGAGATATTGAGATTCCAAAAGAAACTTCTTGCGGGTCCCAGTCTACTTTCTGAATACTAATTTTACCTCTGCCTCCAGACCAGTTGCCAAATTTGCAAAAGGAATGGCTTGTCTCCAGGTTTGAAACTAGCTCTAGCAATTCCTAATTCAGGAAACTATTTTAACACCAGTGCCCAGAGCTGAGTGACCTTGCCAGTCTTGACGTGGTCATGAGCCATGTCCACTAAGTCTTCTGGGCAGCTCATGATTTAGGGCTGTCAGGTCAGCACGGCAGACCCGTGTGAGGTAGGGGGTGCAGCTCTGCACTGGTTCTTGGGACCCAGAGTTCTTGCCTTGTCTCTGCCCCAACCCACCCAGTGACCATGGACGAGATCTTTCACCTTGGCTGTCAGGTAAAGAGTTTGGACTAGCTTTAATATTCTAGAATATATCCCAGTGGTTCTGAAATAATGCAATCCATATAAATCACCTAGTGGACTTTGTGAAAAATACAGATCACCAGCCACCCCACCCCCCACCCCAGTGATTTCAATGCAAGACTTATAGGGACCACAATTTTAGCAAATTGATCTGTGGCAACAGTGATGAGAGGAGGTATGGTGATAGAGAAGAAGAAGAGAGGGAGGGAGGGAAGGAGGATTTACTTAAGAATGGAGAGGTGAGAAGTCAAGATTTAGGGTTGGACCCACTCAGCCCCATTTCATGACCTCATATGAACTTTGGAGTGCTGTCCTCTTCCTTTCTCCTAAATGGCTCAGGTCGTGTAGGCAGAAGGATCCACTCCCACTGTCCCGTGGGGACACTGTCAGGGTGGGGCTCCCTTGAGGCAAATCCCAGGCATAATTTTGGAGCAGAAAGTGTTTGTTTCTAATTTCCTTTTTTATGTGATGATGTGGCTGGAGTCAGAGCCCAGTGTGGGAAAGAGTGGGTTGGTGGGTGGCATTTTATGGCTTCAACAAAAAGTTTCAACATTTACTGGATGCCTGTGCAGAGGTCTACAGAGAATCAGATGGAAAAGACAAGGTCCAGACATTGAGGAACTCAAATGCCATCAGACACATCTGCCTCCTCCTCCAACACATAGCACGTGTGCCGTGCTGGGATTGAGTTCTAGGAGAGGAGAGGCACTCTGCAGGACCCCACAGGGGAGCGTTCTGAAGAGGAGGCAGAGGATGGGGGCTAGAGAGGGCAGGATGTGCTTTGGAGACAGGATGTTCTGGATTCAGATCCAGACTCTACCAGTTGAGTGTCCTGGAACAATTGACTCAGACTCTTTTGGCCTCAGTTTCCTGCATTCCTGATTGTTCTGAGGACTGAATTAATGTACACATCACATCTGTGGAGCACCAGGAATAAGTAAAAGCCCAATAAAATCTTGTTTCTTTCCTCCACCCAATCCCCTTGTTAGGAAGAGATTTGGTTTCTCTTATTCATGCTTTTGGAAAGTAAGAAACTTTAGTAATAATTTTTCCCCCTAATCAAACACACATACTTTTTATTGGAACAGAAGTGTTGATAGAGTAAAGCACGAATGATATTTGATGGTACCATTTTATGTGATGTATGTTAGTATACAAGAGAATGCCTATCATTTTGTACTAAAGAAAAGAGGAATTTTTTTTCTCCCTAATGTGACCTGGTTCTCCCAGCATAGCCTGGATCAGGACTATGAGAATCCCCACTCAGACACAGCGGGCATCTCTGCTCATTCACTGAGTAGATATTTATTGAGTATATCTATTCCAGGCATGTGTTGGATCCTGGGGGGGATGCAAAGATGAACAAGCCTGAGAAGTTGAGAGTCCCCAGCGACTGTGGGGGAAGGGGTTAGGAACAGACATGAAGTGTGCGTGTGCAGTGAAGAAACTTGCCCTGGGACAGGAAGTGAGGATTATGGGTTGTGGTCCTGGTCCTGCCTCCACCTTGCTGTGGTGACCCCTGACAAGCCCCACTCCACTCTGATGCCACCTATCACATTAGGTGGACCGATAAATGCAAAGCTCACTCCAGGGTCAGGATGGTATCTTCCTCGTGAGCCAGGATTTATGACTGTGCAGATTCTCAGAATGGTACACATTCCACAGTCCCAGACTGTCCTTCACACTGGCTGTATCTCAACTGTGCATTCTTAATCAATTCTGGTGGAGTGATTTCTGTTTCCTGCATGAACTGTTTCTGCTTTGCTTGCTAATTTTTCTCTTTCTCTTCTTTTTCTCTCTCCCTTCTTCTCTCTGCTTCCTTTCTCTGTACCTCCTGACCCCTCCCTGATCTTCACCACGGTGGCAGACATGGAAATGGATGTGGAGAGCGACCCTGAGTCAGAGCCAGTGACAGAGTGAATGACAAGACCCCACACAGTGCAGACATCCAGGAACGGACCACTCACGAGACCCCTGGGTCCCAGAGCTACTCCATCCCTCCCCATCCCGCCAACACTCCATTTCCCATTTCAGTGCGGATTAGAATGGATTACAAGGCAACACAGGCTCAAGCAGTTGAAACTGCTGCATGTATGAGAGCAATCTTCCTTTGAGGGGTCACCCATCATTCAAACATTATGCTGGAAAGTAATGAAAAAACAATGTGGGATTTTTTTTTTAGGACTTCTATGTGGACTTTACTCTTCTCAAAGGGAAAATGGCTTTGGTTCCAGAGATGCATAATTTAATATAAAATCACATGGTCTTAGGCGGACCAGGTCAAAGTAGGCCCTGGTTTCTAATCCACTTTACACTTTAAGCTTAAATGGACCAGAATGCCTGTGACTTTATGACTTTAATGTTTTTACCCATTGCTACTTTCTTAAGAACCAAAAGAAGGTGAAACTAACAATAACTCGTGTAGCGTGGATTTTTAGGAAAGCCAGACATAGTCTGTTCTGAAGTTTCTTTTCCACTTATACCTAACACAGGGCTGAAATTCCATCATCAGAAGTTCTTTCCTCTGGGGCTGACAAATTTTGCATTCCCAAAATTTCCCTGATTAAAGTTTTTCAAAAGATAGGCATCACACCTGAAAGCAGTGGTCCTCGGCTCTGGTGCCATGGGACATCACTGGGTCATAAATACTGGTGAGGAGAGGGCTGTGGAGGTGGGAATCTCTGCTTCAGCCTGGAAAGAGTCTGGGTAGACTTAGCAGAGAACCCCTGCATTACATCGTGACTGCTCAGTCTGTTTGGTAATTAAATGGTCTCTTGATGAAGGCAGAATCCTGCAAAATTGGACAATGAAAGGTCCAGAGACGGCAGGACCATCCTGGGGATGGAGTGCCCTTGAGAGAGGAGATGGGGCAATCACTAAAGACAGCATCAGTTGAGTCAATATTTTTAAGATCACGAATTGTAACAGGTCTTGTTCTCAGTGTGACAGAGGGGATCATAATTTAAGCAAAAGATTTGATATGAGCCCAAATAATTGCAACACCAGGCAATGTAAGATACATGCATCGAAGAGAGATGAACAAAAGGCCTTGCAAGTAGAAATGAGGAAGCAGCCCTGTCCAATTAGAAGAATGAGAAAAGGCTTTCAAGAAGCAGCAGTATTTGATCAAGGCCTGGAGGGCAGCCAGAGCATGAACCACAGGGTTTCCCGTGTGCAGAAAGCTGCAGCACAGGGAGGGGTCTGTGATGCTGGCGCACAAGCGCCCCAGAGGGAGGGACAAAGATGAGGCTGGGGTCGGGGACATCCCTGAGACCTGAGGGCCAAGTGATCCAATTCTGCGTGGTTCCCTAGGCAGCCCAGGACTGTGCAGAAGCATCCTCAGGATGGCAGGTCAAGAAAGATGTGTCTGAAGGAAGATATATGGCAGCAAGTGGTGACAGCAGAGACAGGGTGTGGGTGGCACCTCCCATCCCAGAGAATGAGGAGAAAGAAAGTCCAAGGGAACGGGGAAAGGAAGAGCAGTCTGGTGTAGTGTGGAAGTGGCCAAGGGCACTTTAGAGAAGAGGATGGGGCCCTTTCTCAAGCTGAGAAGATAGACTAGTTGAGGAAGCAGGGTCCGGATCTAGCATCTTGGATTGTGTCAGGCAGAGCTCAAAGGCCCCTTGCAAAGGGAAGTTGTCCCTAGGCCCTGGAGAGACATGGCTCTTTGCCTGCCACTGTAGACTTGGGGAGAAGTTGCCCCTTCCCCACTCACTATACCCAAGCTGGAGTGGCACTGTTTCCCATCATCTGTCACCCCTCTGTCTGGTTGTAAGACCAGCTTTATCCGCAGGCAAAGTTACTTCTCTAGAGTGATGTGAAAGCAGGCCCTCAGTCCAGACAGTCCCTCTCCAGCAGTGCTGGCCACACACAGGCTCCCAACAGCCTGACCACCTGGCCATGTCTAAGACTGAGCCTGGCTGGAATTCCTCCACCTAGAACTAGGTATTAGGTCCTGAGGATAATTTGGGTAAAACAGACCAAAGTGAAGAGAGACAAGAGTAATAACAAAGATCTAGGCAGCAATCAATGGTGTTTCCTAAAAAAGGAAGAAAAATTTGCTTTGGGACTCAGCAGGAAAATACATTTAAAATTGTTTATAGCTTTAGATAGTAAGTATTATTACCTCTTATTATTGGAGTGCTGACCCTTCCAGGTTTCCCCCCAGAGTAGAAGAGTGTCTCTACTTTTGGGTAATCAAAACCAAAAGGAACAATTTGTCCAGGAGGATTGGGGGCCAGGAAACATCACTAACCAGTTCTCTTGGCTTTGGCCTTCCTTGTGGATAGGAGGTGCGTGCACTGATTCCCATCCGTCACCCCTCTCCTCCCCCCTGAAGAGCCTTGGAGTCATCTATAGTTTAAGTTAGGTTAACTCTCTATTCAGTCAAAAAGTTGAATTTAGAGTCCTAAAATTAGAAATCACAATTTATGAGTAGAATCTCAGGGGTGAGTTGTCTCTTCTGTTTCCTAAGGTGAGCAAGTAAAATTCAGGAGGAGAGAATCTCTGACTTTAGAATGCCATCCTCGGAAATTATCAATACTGACCACTAATGTTCACCCTCACACAGCTAATGTTGATTCTAGGCCATTTTCACTAGAGAACAGATCCTTAAGAATTGTCAGTCTGGTTTACTTACAAGAACACTGAGTTTAAAGTCAGATCTGGTTCTCTGACTGTAACTAACTGTGTGACCTTAGACAGTCAAGTCTCCTCCCTGAGCCCATCTGTAAGTAAAGATGATGTTCTAGATTGCCTGACTTCAGTCTCCTTTCCAACTGTGAAGTTCTGTGATTCTTCAGTTCTGGCAGAGGTTTTGATCTAAGATTAGGATTTCCTTAGAAATGAGCACCATCCCCTGATGAAGGCCCCTAAAGAGATACTGACAAACTGGGTCCTCAGCCACTGACCTGACTCCCGGCAGACTGGTGCCGGCAACTCCCCTAAGACCTGGCTGGATGGGAAGGCTCTCTAAGACCACCTCTGAGGAGCAGGCATCTTTGGTCTTGCCCTACAATCTGCTCCAATGTCCAGCCACCAACAACTGGAGAAAATGAGCAGGTGAAGACTAAAAGTTGGTCCACCCTGCCCCTCCTCCTGCCTTCTGTGCCTACAGAGAACCAGCAGGGTGGGGCTGCATACTTATGCAGGAGCTGGGTTTCTTTTTGTTTGTTTTGGGATTTTTTAATGCCAAGCTCCAATGTGAGAACAATGACTGCTTTAACTCAGCGTGTGGTTGGGGCTGGAAGAACTGAAGATTCTTTGGTTCGTGTGAGCCAGAATTTTATCACTACGCCATGGGCTTCATGCTTGGGCAGAAGAGGATAAGAGGATTGCACAATAGAACTGGAAGTCAAGGAAAGGGGCCTGGTGGGGATCTGCTTGAATCTCAGCAGAACTGCCCCTGCCCTGGAATTGACAGCAGGCCAGGTGAGTTGACCACACAGTAGTACCATAATAGATAGGAGAGGCCCCAGATGCAGGGCCACTGTTCGCATGGACTATGACATTGCTCTCTGGAGTTGTGTGCAGTGTACAACCTGCACATCTGTATGGGACAGGCCCACCAGAAGGCCCCAAGACGAGGAAAGGGTAATTGAGAGGTCTCACACTCTTCTCTCTCAGTTGCAGACTGTGGAGCCCCGGCAGAGCTGGAAAATGGGCTGGTCACCTTTTCCACCAGGAACAACCTTACCACATACAAATCTGAGATCAGGTACTCCTGCCAGCAGCCCTACTACAAGATGCTGAACAGTATCACAGGTGAGCCCTCTGTGCTGAACCAGCCCCCTCCCACCTCACACACTCTGGATCTCTGGGTTAGTCTGGGGGCTGAAACAGCCAGTTAATTGGCCACTGTTTGAGAGGAATTAGGAAGAGGAATACTTGGAGACAAGCCTCCCCATTCCCTGCCTGAGGCCTGTATCCCAAGAGTTAGACTGCATGACACCCCAGTACCCACACAGACACACTCACAGCCTCCAGCAGAGAAGGAACCCTCAAGGCCGATCAGTTCTGCCTCCACTGCAGAATAGCGCTAAGAAAATTCTCCTAATTTCTCAAAGCCTCCAAGTCCTCCCTTCTGAAGGGAAATAGTGATGTAGCTCACAGAGCTGCCATAAGCCTCATGAGATGGAGGACATAAGTGTGGTTTATGAAAGGATTTGTCAAGCGGAGAACCTGAGGCAGAGCAAGTGAACCAAGGGCCGCATGACTCATAATGAGATCTGCCTTCCAGGGGCTGGGCCGTGCCCCAACAGGCAGGAGTCAGATGGCTCAGAGCCTTGGAACCATACTGAAGAGTGCTGTTTATTTGTGAGGTGAATGGGGGGATGTTGGTGATTTTGAGCAGAGAAGAGACAAGGTCAGATTCCCATTTTAGAAAGATGCTTCAAGTTGCTGACACGACTGGCTCGGAGTGAACGGCATCAGAAAGGCTCTTTGAAGGACTTGCCATGACCCACAACAGAAGAGTTAAGAACCGAGATCACTCTTCCATGTGCTATAAATTAACTATATTCTCCTTCTTCAATCTTTTCCCACTCTCCCAGGTGTATATACCTGTTCTGCCCAAGGAGTCTGGATGAATGAAGTCCTAGGGAGAAGCCAGCCCACCTGCCTACCAGGTACCTCACCCTCAAGTTCTCTGCCTCAAGGTCTCCTATGCAAGGCCCTCAGGCCACAGGGGCTCTGGCTGTTAATGGATGGAGGGATGGGGGCATGATGCTTCAATTGTTCTTTAAGAGAGATTTTCAGATGGTCAAGGGTCAGAAAAGCCCCGCCTCACACCCTCTCAAAACAACCAGCCTCTATATTCAGCCTATTCTATCACACCAGGAGCCTTCCTGCCTCCTCTCTCTGCAGTCGGCTTCCTTCCCACCAGATTTTTCATCCCACACAGCTGGTGTTTGCACTTGCTGTGTGCCAGGAAAAGGGCACCCTGTCCTTAAGCACTCACTGTGTTGTAATGGAGATGGACATCAGACAAACACCAAATGGCTATAGAACAGAGCAACAGGTTCTTCCACAGAGCAATGTGTTCAGGCCTTGGTGACTGCTGCCTCCCCGACCTTGCCTACTGACCCCCATCTTAAAATGAGAAAAGAGTTTTATGGTAATAGGAAGTGTCCCTATGCGTGCAGATTTGGGGGATATTTTATGGACTTTTGTGTTAGCATTAAAAGTATGGATAACTTGCATCACAGTCATACTGTACACACATATTCAAATTGACTTACAGAAGTTTAGCCCCAAGTGCATACTATAGGGTTAAATAGATAACTAACAATAAATTAAATTTAATATTCACAACACAGAAATTTACACTTAAAAAAGTAAGAATAGCACTGATTGACAGGTACAGTCATTCAAGATGGCACTGAGGAGCAGCACTGACTCTGCCATTTGCTTCAACAGCAGGAGCTTTGCAGTATGATTAGGTGTTGGGTGACATTCGTATTTTACTGAATTAGAGTGTTGGGTAAACTGAGATAGTGTATTATTTGAATGCACATTTTAGTACCCTCAATATTCACTCAGTAGGCTTCCAGATGTTAGAGATTGAAATGGAAAGGTTAGGGAGCCGTCTACTATTGTCCTTGAGAACTGAAGTAAGTGTTAGCATTTGGGCATCAGTTTTGGCTATCACAGGTACTAGGAGATCCCAGAGAAGGAAGAAGTCACTGCACATGGTTGTCTGGGAGTAGAGAAATGGGGGCTGGTTAGGAAGATTTTGCTTAGGAGGGCTTTATGCCTAAGAAAGAACTAAAAGAACTCATGAGGAGCTGGAGCAGGGAACAGGTCAACCCATCCATGCTCTGCTGATCCCCAGCCTCTCATTTGGGCTTAGCCAAGAGCATACCCAAGGGCCACAGCTGGGGAAGCCTCAGAGAAGATAGAAATGGTGGAACTGAGGCAAACTGGAGATCAAATCCCCATTTTGCTAAAATACTATGTGGACCATAGAAAACAGCACTGCAGGTAGATTCCGTCTTAGGCAGCCATGTTGTGACCTCTGGAAGGGGGTGAGGCACTGAGCTGGGAGTCAGGAGCCTGGGTCCTAGTCCTGGTGTTGTCTTTCCTAATTGTGATCTTTGGTAAGTAATCTCACCTCTCTGGGGCTAGGATTTCATACCTCGGAAGTGAGGGAGCAGGACCAGATGATCCATGACATTCTGTGACTCTTTGGTCATCATCGTGTAGATTCATACAAAGCATCTCGTATGCAATGAGCTATGAAACTATTTTAACACCTGGTGGTCAGCAGAACATGGTGCATCATTGGACTAGGCCAGAGAATTCTAAATTCCCTCCTCCTAAAACGCTGAGATTGAACCCAGAAGCAAGCCAGAATGGAGAAAGCCATTTCACCTAGCATAATAATATCCACCTTACCAAGGAAACTGTTAAGCATATATTATTTGCCCCTTATTTTACACATGAGAAAACTAAGGATCAGGGAGGTATAATAATTTGTCCAGAGTTACCTACAGAAAGTTAGAGGTGGAACTGGAAGGTGAACTCAAGGCTTTTGATGTCAACAAAAGCAATGCTGAGCCATTCTTGACTCTGCCATCCTTATGAACCCAGTATTCTAAAATATCACATTTTTGCTTGTAGAGCCCTCCCTCAGTGCCTCCAGTCTTCTAGGGCCCAAATCTGACTTCAGCACAGCAGAAGCTCTAGTATTTCAGGGAGATTCCTTTGTCCTAGGAAAGACGGGATGGAGAATGGTAGCAGCCAAAAAGAATGGCCCCACTTCAGTGGGCTCTCTCAAAGTCTTGTTGCATCATTCAACTTCTTGAAAAGAGTGTATCAAGAAGAAAAACAGACTTTAGTGGAAAAAAATGAAGCTAGAGTCAGAAGAAATGGGCTGTATTGCTGGCTTTGCCACTAATAATTTTGAGTTTGTCATGTACCTTCTCTGAACCTCAGTTTCTCCATCTGTAAATCGGCTGTTCTTCAAGTTTCCCCAGCTCTGACATTCTGTGACCTGGGGTACGCTCTGGCATCTTGGTTGGAAAAAGGCATCATTCAGCTCTGGCTTTCTTGTGTCCATGGACTGAGCCACAGGCATACTACTGCTCACCAGATGACGGCCTTTCATCACTAAATGAGTTTACATGCAGGGCTAGTCACAGACTTGCCTTGAGATGTCTTTGTAGGCTGCTACTTATTATTGGGAGTCTGGCCTTCAACTCTTAAAGGCCAGGCCACAAACTGTTAGCAACAGTGAGCTCACATCTGGCCTGGGGTGAACAGCAGGGTGCTTCAGGATCACGAAAGAAGCATTTGGCATCAGGAAGAAGAGGATCTGAAAAGCATTAGGTTGCTGAAAGCCTGACCTCTCAAAATTGCCAAGAAACTCAAATGCTCCTTGGCCTTTAAAGGATCTTTGAAAGTATCCAGGGCCAAGGAGTGTAGCCTGGCAATTTGCAACCTAATGTGTGGTTAGGAGGAGGTCTACGCTCACACGAGCCTTACATCTCAGACATAAGCACTCTGCTGGGAGGAATCCATGTGAGCTTGTTCTTAGCAGTGGGGGGGCTGGTACTGAAGACCCTCTGCCCATGGGCCAAAGGCGTTTGGCTGCAGGAGGCTGGTGGTGCATGTGCATGCTCGGGGTACAACTCGGTGGAATGAAGTTTGATCAGACCCTTCTTCTTCTCTTGAAGGTACTACTGGGTTCCTGGGTGCAATGATGGGTGGCTCAGAACAGAGCCCATGCATCATTGCTTGTAGATTATGCCACCCCACCTTTCCCTAACGTTGGATGCCCAGGGCATCCCTTCACAGCATGAGTTCTTTAGGCCGGAGAAGAAAAGGCTAGTGGGCCCATGACCACGGTCTTCATATGTAATGAGGCACCGTTGGGTACAGGATAAGACGTTGATCTTAGAATCTAGTTAAGTCCCTACTACTCAACTTAATAGTCACGTGACCTTGGGCTAGTCATTTAACCTCTGGGAGAGTTTTACTCACCTATAAAATGGGGGTAGTCAGGGCAAATGAAATAAAAATCAAAGGGATTTGAAATTTGGAGGATCCTTGGAGATTGTCTTGACCAGCTGTCTCGTTTAGCAGATCAAAAATTGAAATCCAGAAAAGGAAATTTACTTATCCAGAATCACACAGGACAGAGGACAGCAGTCAAGTCAAGGCCCCAGGTGTCTTAGGCCCAGTCCAGAGTTTGTTGTAACCTGCTAGACAGTCTTTTCATTTCCTTCCACCTCTCAAAGCTGATAGCCTATGGCTTTCAGAAGTTTTCTAAGTGCCCATAGTGTGGACCACTTCTGGGTTCTTAGATGTCTTTCTAGGGAAGATAGGCAAAGTGACGGCTGCTAGATATAGGTCTGGCTAAAGATGGTCCATGCCACAAGTGATCTTGGCTGCAGTGGTTCAGGATGGTGAAGGCCCACATATAAAATGATCTGGTCCATAGATGTCCTTGGCTACAGATCTACAGATGGGCCAGACTAGAAAGACTTAGGCCAAAAATGACCTCTCAGAGCTTTCCCAGGCTAGCTTGGCCCCATGGTGTAGAGTAGGGTCTGTGGTGGCATAATCTACAGTGGACGGATGTGAATTACTTTCAGTGGCTCTTTTCACCTGGCTGAGCTGACCAGTCTCTGTCTCTTATTCCCGCTCCCTCCTTACAGTGTGTGGTCAGCCCTCCCGCTCCCTGCCAAATCTGGTCAAGCGGATCATCGGAGGTCGGAATGCCGAGCCCGGCCTCTTCCCCTGGCAGGCTCTGATCGTGGTGGAGGACACCTCAAGGGTACCAAACGACAAGTGGTTTGGGAGCGGGGCCCTGCTCTCTGAGTCCTGGATCCTCACAGCAGCCCACGTGCTGCGCTCCCAGCGCAGAGACAACACGGTGACACCAGTCTCCAAGGACCACGTCACCGTCTACCTGGGCCTGCATGACGTGCGGGACAAATCGGGGGCTGTCAACAGCTCAGCCGCCCGAGTGGTGCTCCACCCAGACTTCGACATCCAGAACTACAACCACGACATTGCTCTGGTGCAGCTGCGGGAGCCCGTGCCCCTGGGGCCCCATGTCATGCCCATCTGCCTGCCGCGACCCGAGCCCGAAGGCCCGGCACCCCATGTACTGGGCCTGGTAGCTGGCTGGGGCATCTCCAATCCTAACGTGACGGTGGATGAGATCATCAGCAGCGGCACGCGGACCTTGTCGGACGTGCTACAGTACGTCAAGTTGCCCGTGGTGCCGCACGCCGAGTGCAAGACCAGCTATGAGTCCCGGTCGGGCAACTACAGTGTCACAGAGAACATGTTCTGCGCCGGCTACTACGAGGGCGGCAAGGACACATGTCTCGGGGACAGCGGTGGGGCCTTTGTCATCCTCGACGACTCGAGCAAGCGCTGGGTGGCCCAAGGCCTGGTGTCCTGGGGGGGCCCTGAAGAATGTGGCAGCAAGCAGGTGTATGGGGTCTACACCAAGGTCTCCAACTACGTGGACTGGGTGTGGGAGCAGATGGGCACCCCGCAGGGTGTCGGGGAGCTCCAGGTGGAACGGTGAGCTGCCTGACTTCCTCAGGGCCGCCTGTCCTGCCCAACCCGAGCAAGGCTGCACCACACACTCCCGAAAGCACCCTCCTTGTTA